TGCTGTCCTATGAGTCTTGTCTCCCGAGGCAGCAGACACGCTCTCCCCAGGCAAGAGATCGTGGTGAGGAAGATGCCAGAATGAGCCCAACTTCCACCATGCAGTGGGGAATGGCTGCAGGCCTGTACCAGGACCACCTCCTGCCCTGCCCTTGGACCAGGACACAGCCCCTGCTCTGGATTGCTGAGCACTCACCTTGGTGATTTTCCTTCCACCTGAAGAGCCGCAGCTGCCAAAGCGCTTCAGTGAGATCGTGAGAACGTTGGAGGCTCGGTGGATGGTGAAACGTTTGCTGGCTGCCACTTTCTTCCTGCACCTGCCCAGGAAAACCTTGAGCTATTCAAGCTGTTCCACCACCCAGACGACTGCCTGCCCTGGCCATGGGAATGGCAAACCCCATGGGAATGACCATGCTGACACCAGGCACTGCTCCAGGCACCTGCCTGCGGCCACGTCTGCTGGCCCAGGTCCTCCTCATGAGCAGAGGGAGCTGAGGAGCAGCAGGATTCATCATAGGCTTTTGTGGCTCTGTACCTCACAGTTTAACTGTGGAGCAGGTACAGAAGCCCTCCCATATTGTGGCAGCCTTCCCACTGTCACACCCGTGGGCCCCATCCTGCCTGCAGCCCCCCACACTCACATGCTACACCTGTAGGCGTTGTCCCCCCCCAGCTGCTCCGGCTTCACGAACAGCTCCAATGCCCGCACGATGTTTGCGGCTCGCTGCAAAGACAAAGTGGAAGTCAGGGCACGAGGGGCCTGCTCACACCACAGCTGTGCTCCGTGCTGAGACGCTGGGTCCAGCAGAGAGCACACCGTACAGGGCCACAGGCTGCCCCAAAGCCGTGAGCCTGCCCCCAGCACACCAAGGGGGTGGCTGCTCTGCACACAGCACCGCCAAGCCTCCACGGAGCAGTCGTGGCTCATCCTCAGGCAACGGGTGCTGCTCTGCCACACCGAGAAGGCAGTGGAACAGCAGGAGCTGCTTCCCTCCTGCTGGCACCATGCCTGCACACTGGCAGGTTAAGGAGCCTCAGAGCAGGAACATCCTCCCGAGGGCAGAACCCCCCAACCCTAACCCTGCCTCACTACCTCGACCTCCAGTGTCACATCCAGGTAAGGGTCATAGGTGTCCGAGACAGTCTTGCACTCCAAGCATTTCACTGCAAAAGGAAGAGCCATGAGCACACCCCAACAAACACAACACCTGCACCTGCCACCCCCAGCCTGGGTTTGGGCTCTGGGATGTGAACAGGATTCACAGCCTGGCAGGGAGAAAGGCTGGTGATTCCATTTTGTCCTAGGAAAGCAAATGTTGCTGGATAGCTGGGAGGATGGATCCTTTTGCTAGTGGCACACAGCCAGCAGCTTTTCCCATCACCACAACTGGGGTCACAACCCTCAGGTACCGCAGGACCAACTGACTGTGGCTCTGGATAAGATACACATGCTTAGCCTTTTTCCCAAAGAGTTCTACTGCCCAAACCCCGGCCCTGGCAGCTGGCACTCACCACGGGACCGCAGGTAACCGCCAAAGATCTGGTGAACCAGGGTTGTGGCCTGGGTCTGGCGATCCAACCTACATAGAGACAGCAGCACCAGATCTCACACCACCCCTCTGCAAAAGCCACTCCTGTGGGACCCCTGTGTCATCAGGACAGCCCCACTCCATGCTCTGGGCAGTGGCTGGGCTGTGGAGCTCCAGAAGCAGCAGGAAATCACAGCCCCCACCGGCCTGCTCTCCCCGTGTCACAGCCAAGGGATGGCACCAGGCTCCAACATGCACCCTCCTCTCGAAGGAGCAGAGGCTCCTGGCTGAAGGTCAGAGCTGGCTGCTGCAGGCAAAGGCAGTGCTTCCTGGGATAGAGGGCCTCAGGGAAGCTGCACTCCCACAGCCACAGAACTGGGGCTGAGCTAGCAAGCATGCCTGGATCCCTTGGCAATTGGGATGGGATCCCACCCCATAGCAGCTTCAGGATTTTGGGACAGGACTGCAGCTGTGCCGGGGTGAAGGAGTCAGAAGGCAAACAACAGCCCAGAGCCACATCCCTGAGGGCCAGAGAGCTGGACCCCACACACGAGGCCCCTGAAGTCACGACCTCCCCAAAATAAGGCCAACCTGGGGGACACGTTCACCCCACAGTCCCCCCCCCATGAGCCCAGGGGACCAGGGAGGGATCAGCAAAGAGCAGCAACAGGCCATGAGGCCCCACGTACTTGGTGTAGCCATTCAGGCAGGCCTTCTGCATGGCATCAATGGTGTAACGCAGGAACTCATGTGCATCCTCCTGCCTGCCGAAGCGCAAATTATGGGAAATCTCTACAAGAGACGGAGGAATTAGCATGTGCTGCAACAGATACTGGCCGTCCCTTCCTCCCCTGGGGCAGGAACTCTGGGGTTCAAGCCCCCTCAATCCAAACCAGACATCAGACTCATGCCAGCCAGGGGGCAAGTCCCAGGCAGCCCCCTGGCAGGCTCTGTGAGTTGTCTCAGTGGAGCCATCTGGCCAAATGTGCCCCAATCCCAACAGTTCTGCTTCCACTTTAGTTATGGGGGGAAGGGCAGCCATCCTTACTCTTGAGATCTCGGATGATGGACAGTGGCTTTATCGCATTGCCGCTGTTGGCAAAAGCCTGGATCGTGTGGTTCTGCATAGTACACATCATGCAGAAGCTTCCGTGGGCACCTGGAGCAGGAGAGACGATGGGATGTTGGGGGCAAACTCGGGAGAGATGGAGGCAGCACAGGGGATTACAGCCACACACTCAGTTCTCCCTTCGAGCCCTGTGCTTCAAGACAGCTCTGGGGCATCCCAGAGACATGAGAACCAGCACACGCCACACCGACCAGCAGAGCCCATCACAGGACCAGCCATGGGAGCCCCCTGGTGAGAGAGCATCCACACGGATGGAAAACAGGTCCCAGGTACTCACTGGATGAGCCCACAGGTCGGCTCTGAGGGGTAGATCCCACCGGAGTCGTACAGACAGGGTTCTGTGTTCCCCAGGGTGACAGCTTGGAGCAGGGCCTGCCACACTGCCTTCATGCAGTCCCCACAGGCAGGGGCTATTTGGAACCCCTCAGCTCAGCCCCCAAGAAGCCAGCAAGTCTGTTGGGCCTATCTTAGTCCTGGCTACACTCAGCAGAGACAAAGTCTCCCCAGAGGCAGAGATGCTGAGCTTGGGAACACTGCTATCACCAGGAAACATGAGTTGGACCCAGGAACAGCCTCTTGATGGAGAAACAGGCAGAAGGGAGCAGAGAAGGTGCAACCCAACACCCACACCCCCTCACCAGAGCCAGGCGCAGAGGTGCTGAGCACAGCACTGCGAGCAGGACCGGCAGACGCTGCTCCTCCCTCCCGGCCCCCCGAACTGGGGTCCCCACTCACAGGTGCGTCCGTGCTCGCGGGAGAGCAGGTAGTTGGTGAGTGGTGGCGTGTAGGTCAGGCACTGCAGCGCGGAGTTCAGGAAGCAGGTGTTCCCCAGATTACTCAGCCCGGCACCCACACGGTGGACACGCTCCCACTTCATGGAGAGGCGCTGGGCTGGGAAGAGCACCTTCTGGGGCGCAGGGATCCCGTCACCCATGGGCCTCGGGGATGCTGGGCTGCAGCCTGTGGGGAACGGGTGGTCAGTCCGAGGGGGCAAAGGGGGAGCAGGGCACGGGAGCACGCGGGTGTGCCCGCACCCTCTCCACTCACCCTGGGGGTTCTGTGGCCGCTCCGGAGGGCTGCCGGCGATGCCGAGAGGGCGGCCAAGGGCCTCGGCCCCGATGTGCTCGTACTTGTCCCGCAGGCGCTCCAGCTGCCCGGCCAGGCCGCGCCGGGCGGGCGCGAACTCGATGCGCTGCTGCAGCACGGAGCGGGCGGCGGCGGCCAGAGGCCGGCCCAGCTCCGCCGCCGCCTCCCGCCGCACCGGCTCCAGCGCCTCCCGCAGCTTCTCCGCGATCATCGCCGTGGGCGGCCGGCTCGGTGGGCCCGGCGGCCGCGGCTGCGGAGAAGGAGAGGGGGCGGCTGAGCGGGTGGCCCCTCCCGTCCCGCTCCGGCTCTCAGAGCCACTGGCCGCGGCCCGGACCCGCCGCCGCCCGCCGCGCTCCACACCGAGGGTCCCCGGCCGCCGCGGGCACCGCGCCCCCGCCCGCCGCCCCCGCGCGCCACCGCCGCGCCGCCCCGGCCCGCCCGCCGCCATGTGCGGCCCGCCCGGTCCCGCCGCTCCGCTGCCCACGGGCGGCCCTGCTGGCAGGGCAGGAGAGCGCGGCGGGAGCGGAGCGCAGACCCCGGCGCCCCCGGGCCCGTCCCGCCCGATCCCGGCAGCGCTCACCATCCGGGTCCCGCCGCACGCACGTGTCACCGCAACGCCTCTCGCCCGCCGCCGCCACAAGCTCCTTCCGCGCCGGCCCCGCGGGGCGGCTCCGCTCCGCCTCTGCGCGGCCGCGGCGCCTGCTCGGCACAGCCCAGGGCCGGGCACGCTCCGCCCGCTCGCTCGGAACAGCCAACGGAGAGACGAGGCCGGGCCGCGGCCGCCACCGCCCCACGCGGGACCGGACGCGGGGCTCTGCGCGTGGCGTGGCCCGGCCCAGCCCCGTCACACCCCGGGCCCGCCCCCTCCGGCACAGACCGCGCCCCTTTACAGCCCCAGCCCCGCCCCTCCCCGGTCCTGGTCCCGGTCCCGGCCCCGGCGGACCCCGCGCTCAGCGCTGCCGCCGGTATCTGAAGGTGGCCCTGCAGCAGCTCTTCCCCTCGCCTTCTCGTTCCTTGTCCTCCGGCGGCCCCGCGTGGATCCCTCCTCTCCGCGGCTGAGGAGGACCGGGGGGCCCAGGGGTGTTCGGTTGGATCCGGAGGGTGGCGGGAGCCGGCGAGGTCCTGGCCGAGCCACCGCAGGGACCCCGCCCATCGCCTCCCCTCCCCGGGAGCTCCCGGCACGGACCCCCCCGCCGGTACCGGGGCGGTTCCAGCGCCGGATGAGGAGACGGAAATCACGGCACAGGGACCACAGAGCCGGCGGCAAAACAAGTGGCGATATTGAAGTCAAAGACAGAGGAGCAGCAGCGACAGGAGCACAGCGGGTATAGCCATACAGAGCGCCTGGGATGCGCGGTCGGGACTGAGTAAAGGTTGGGTGGTTTTTTTTTTTTTCTTTTTCCTTCTTTTTAATTTTTCTCTTTAATATGTTGCAATTGCCCAGACTGGTCCAGTATGACATCTCAAACCTTGCAGGGACACACAGCATGAAAACGCCCCCGACGCAGGGCCACAGGGAGCATTCCTGGCATGCTCCCAAAGCCGTGGGTGTACATGCCGGTGCCACGGGCATTGCAGCGGGGCAGCTCTGCGGCACACGCCAGCACTGCTGCAGCGTGGAGGTGGCTCAGAGAATGTGGGGCTGAGGGTGCAGGGGGTTCACTGGAGGGGACAGGTTTTCCTGCAGCTGCCCTGCCACCAGTGGGTCTCAACTGGTCCAACGGTGGCAGCTGCAGAAGGATCTGCAGGAGGTTGCAGGGGAATGGAACCCACTGGAGAGAGGAACATGTGGAGAGAGGGGCAGCAGTGCCTGGGTGCATGTGGGGATCACCCCTGATATGCTAACGTGCCCCTCCAGCTTTTTCGGACAAGGCACCTGCTCGAGTCCTCTGGCCCTGTGAAAGGCCTGGAGCCTCTTGCACTCAGCTGGGGGCTCTGCTGCATGGTAAAGCCCTCAGGAGCCCCTGCCCAGAGAGGTACCCTTCCTGCACCCCGAGGGGACGGATGGGCAATGGGTGGGGAGGGGGACGGGGCGGTCTCTGGGCACTGTGGTGGGGAGGGCTGCCTGGCCAGAGCTGCGGGGGCGGCTCCCGCGGCGGGGGCACTGGTAGACCTGCTACGCAGCTGGGGCAGCTCCCGCCACTCAAAAGGGCTCGATTCCTTCACAGCTGCCAGGGCAGGGCCAAGCATGGCTGGGGAGTCATGACGCTGGCAGGGGGACCGGACCCCACACCCTGCTCAGCCCTGCACAAACCCAAGTTGCCAGTGTGGCCCTGGACTGCCAGGTGCCTGCGACGAAGTGGGTCCCCGTCCCTGCCCCCCGCATGCACGTGGCAGCCTCCAGTGACCCCCGCGGCCGAGCAGATTTTCATGCTGTCTCCAGGGTTTGATATCAGCATGGACCAGTCTAACATCTCGCAAGTTTTTTCTACTGGCTACTGGAATGCGCTTGTTTGGCTTAGGGGTCCTCGATGTCGAGAAACTCTTGCTTGGGGGGGGCCATGCCACGGTACCAGGCACATGAGCCGTCGCTCCTCTTGATGCAGGCGTAGTGCTTGGCCTGCCGCCCGTCCACGTTGTTCTTCTCCATCGCCCAGTCTGTCCAAAGACACTCGTCCGAGGAGGAGACGAAGCAAGGGATGGAGAGGCAGCGCGAGATCTGTGCACGACAGAGACTGTCACCCATCACCCCGACGGGGGACACTGGGCTGGGAAGAAGCAGTGTGGGGCAGCTGGGCTGGGGGTCCTGCACAGCTCTGCTTCATCCACTCCCCCATCTCTTAACACAGATTCCAGGCTGACTCTGCACTGTGAGGCATGGTGGGGACATGACCCTGATGTAGGGGGACTGAGGGACACTCCCTGGGTGCCAGTCTGAGGGCTGGCCTCGGTTCCCAGTCAGAGGGAGCCAGAGGCTCAGTCACCCTTCCTGTCTACCTGGCAATCTGCTGTCTCTGCACAACTTCATCCTTGCAGGACAGGGAAGAGCGTCTCCCCACGGGACCTGCCGCTCCCTGGGGGCTGCAGATCCCCCTGGTGTGGGGGACAGCCTGGTCACTCACCTTGCACTCGCAGCCCATCTGGTACCGCTGGTTTAGGCTCTTCTTCTGGGTCGGGGTCAGCGAGTCCCAAGTGGAGACCAAGTCGCAGAGTGTGATGTGCATCTTGCCATTGCCCTCTGACTTACCTGGAGAGAGGCCAGACAGACCACTCAGGGGGTCCCCCCAGTGCCCCAGGACCCCAGATTGATTGGGATGCCTGGGTCCCCTCACTGTGCACTGTCTCTGGTGACCCCCCAGGGAGCAGAGGTTCATCCCCGAGCTGCACCTGCCACAGCCGGGGCTGCCGAGTGTAGCTAGGGCACAGCTGGGGGGTCACCTAAGGGCGATTGGTAGGAGCTTGAGGGACAGGGGGGAACATGCCCAGGGAGCAGGCACACACATCGGGTGTCTCCAGGGGTGGGTGAGGCAGGAGGGTCAGCACTGTCCTGGCACCCCTTGAGCGCCCTCCCCTCGGTGCCCACCTGCGATGAGATACTCCTTCTTCCCGCCGGTGTCCAGCAGCCGGCCGCACACGGCAGTCGACGGAGCCGTGTAGATGAACTCTATGTCCTGGTCGGGACCCTTGAACATCTGGGGAGCAGAGGCAGGAGTGAGTGGCTGGTGCAGGGGTGCCCCTTCCCCCTCAGCCTCCTGCCCTGATATGCCCTGTTACCTTGATCTGCTTGATTTCATACTGGATGCGTTTGATTGGATTCCCGTATATATCGTTCCCTGAATCCACCTCTTTCGCAGAGACGGCCTTGGCTCGGATCACTGCAAGGGAAAGGTGAGGTAAGTGAAGGTGACCAGTCCCGCTCAGCCCCTGCCTCCCACAGTGATTCTCACACCCGTAGGGGGCTACTGCCCACAGCAGACCCCACTGCCCTCCCCGCAGATGCTCAGCTGTCCACAGAGCCAACTGTCCCCTGCTGTCCCCAAAGGGACGGGGCTCTGGCACATGCATGACAGTGACTGGCAGCATTGCAACAGCACCCTCCAGGTGGGTGATAAGGAAAGGTCATCTCAGGATTGCCCAGCCCTGCTGCCACCACCTGTGCCGGACCATTCACCCTTGGCTGGTGCTGGCTCGGTCTCTGATGGATTCCTGGGTGCAGGCTGGCCCTGTCCGAACTTGTGCCCATCACCCAGATGGCACAGAGAGTTAAAATCGGCCTGCAGTGTCCTGGGAGCACTGCGGTGTTTGTTCCACTGTCATTAATTAAACCAGTCCCTGATAAGGGCCCCGTCCAGGTGCCCGAGTGGCCTGGCCAGGCCAGAGGAGGGAAGGGCAGAGGCAGTGATTTGGACAATCATCTTCAGGTAAGAATCACCTTACAGAGGGTAGCAGAGCCATGTCCCCGTGGCCAAGGCTAATGTGGGCACCAGCACTGCCACCAAACACCAGCACCTCTTGCTGGAGTCCCCAGCCTCACCAGACCCTTGCTAGCCTCTCTGCACCCAATGCTGGGAGAGCAAGGGTCCCAGGACAAGGCTGCCCTTGTACCCTGGAGCACAGTGTGCCTGTCCCACCACAGTGGGGTCCCAGCTGTGCCAGGGCAATGCTCCAGCTGCTGGTTCCTGCCTCACACAGAGCATCGTGCTGTGCAGGCACAGAACCCGCATCCTCCCAGGGCTGGGGCCACAGGTGTTGCTTCCTGCCCTTGCTGCCTGAAAAACAATCCGGGACACTGAGAGCTGTGGCAATGGGAAAACATGTCCTGTTGAGAGGAGGCAATGAGGGCCCAGCCAGCAGCCTCGAGCAGCCTGGCCAAAGGCAACAGTCCTCCCAGCGCTGGTGGCCCTGCGGCGGTCCCAGCACTGAGTGCTGAAGGACAAGGTTGGGAGCCCCAGGGTTGGAGAGGTGTGGCACCCTGAGCCTGGGGATAGCTCTGGCATGGCAGGGTCCCTGCGGTCATGCTGCCCACACAGCCCAGGATACACGATCCAGCATGTGAGCGCTCAGCACGTGGCAGTGACCCACAGGGCACCGGGCGGGCAGGGCAGGCAGCCAGCTCACCCTTACTCACCAGCTGGGACATGGGGCTGGCTTGGTGCTCTGCTGTGCAGGTTGCCTGGGTCCCCATGCTGAGACCTGCAGCCCCCAGCCCTGCCTGCCTCCCTCCACTGGTAGGAGACCTGGCTGCAGGGGATGGGCTGGCAGGACTCTCCACTCTGCTGGGGTACCTCCATTCCATGGGAAGGTCAACCCCCTCTCCTGCAGGGCTCCCTGGTGCCCTCCCACCCTTGTGTGTGTGCTGTGGGGGGGGGGGACAGGGAGCTGGGCACTCTCACAGAGTTCATCCTGGCTCGTGTCCCCACCAAAAATGTACCGAGCTGGGAGCAGCCAGGGACGTGTGGGGGTCACCCACAGCTTGGCACAGATGAGCTTCTCCCACCTGGCATGGCCAGGAGAGGGGAATCTGACCATGGTCTATAAATACTGCTGGGCATGGGGGCACGTGGATGGGCTATTTCAGCTGAAGGTCAGGGAGGCACAGCCACACTTGGGCACCAGCAGAGCTTACTCTGGAAATGTGAGGGTGGTGCCAGTGTGAGCAGGGACCAGAGAAGAGGCTTCCTGAAACAGCTGTCCCCTGTCAAGGGAAGCACTCGCTCTGTGCGGGGCTGGGGTATGCAAGGTCTGGCCGCTGGTACCAGGGCTGCACTGGAAGCTTTCCCAGCCATTCTCCCATCCCTTGGGAAGGGCTGGGCTGTCCAGGCACACTGGCAGCATCTCAGCTGTGCCTGGGGACAGCGCCCGCTCCTCCATCAGCAGTGTGCTGGGGCACTGCAGGCACGGGCCACCCCTTGTCTCTCAGCCCTGCGGCTGCTGTGTCCATGTGTGCCAGGCCCCGCGTGTCGGCGGCGTAACTTGGGTGCAAGCAGTGCTGGCCCCATGGCTCCTGTGTGGGGAATGGTTACTGGTTCAGTGGGCTCCAGCCTTTTCCATTCACGTGCTGATGAATCACTTGACAAAAATGCAGCCCAATTCTGGGCGGATTTGTTCTGAACAGTGCAGCTTTGTGGAGGGGATGGCCGCGCTGTGCTTTCCCTGCCAAGACCCCACGGCGCAGCCAAACTGCTCCACGCCCGCCAGGAACCAGGGTAGCAGGGAGGGTGGCCACAGGGATGGTGGAGAGAGCCCTGAGGAGAGCCTGGGACAAGGAGACTGGGTGAGGGATGGAGGAGACCCCTGGGCGCATAGGGACCAGCAGTTAGACCTCCTCAAATGCCAGTGCCCCCATTGGCCACGTCACCCACCCCTCCTGCTGCCAGTCTGGGCAGCCACCAGCTCCAGGAGCAAAGCTGGGGACACACAGTCACTCAGTGCCACAAACCCACCAGGATGTCTCTCCAGCCTTGCCAGCTGTGAGATTTATCCTCCCTGGCCCCCACACAGGGTGCTCCAGCTCAGGGCACTGCTGTGCCCACACGTGCCCCATGGGCAGAGGGGGCAGCACAAGGACCCTTAGCCCCAGGCCCCCTCCTCCCAGCCTAGGGCGTCCTGACTGGCTGCCCCTTCCTCCACCATCCCACCTCAAACCCCTCCAAGCTGCCCTGCCCACACCTGCCCGGGAAGCACCGGTGCCCATGGACCTTGGAGGCTGCATCCAGGAGGCTGCTGCTAGGCTGGATGCCCAGGGGACAAAGCTCTCTTCTCAGAGCAGAAGGGTCGGCTGCCAGTGCCAGCACTGTCTGCTGCCCACCCGGCACTGCCCGCCCAGGCACCCGTCTCCGTAGTGAAGGTAGCCCCGGGGTCATTCCAGCCCGGCAGAGCTGCAGAGCCGGCAAACCACCCCCGGCAGGGACTCCTGCATCCCAGCTCTGCCTGGCACACGAGCAACAACCGCCCCACAAGCGCCGGCCTGCGCTCCAGCGCCTGCCCGCACCCCAGCAGCCGCAGGGGCGGCCGGGTGGGTGCCCCCGCCCCGGCACAGCGGTTTAGAGATGCTGAGGCTGGGGATGCGGGGCGGTCCCGCAGTGGGGAGGCCGCGGGGGCTCCCCGGTGCCCGCGGGTCTGCCATGGCCGCGTGCGTCATCCCGGCCGTGACGGGAGCGCGGGAGCCCAATCAGCGCGGTGCCCGCGGCCCCTCCGCACGGAAGGGCTCCGGCAGCTGCCGGGCCCCGCAAGGCTCGGCGGGGTCTGCAGGCAGCCGCACACTTCCCCGGCACGGACGGCTCTCACCACTCCCACCAAACCTCCTCCTCTGCGCGGTCCCTACTGGCTGCTGGCAGCCCCCCCACTTCCTGTGCCCCCTCCCGAGGAACCAGGCACTGGGATGACTGGAATCGGCACAATACCAACAAGGACCGCAGCCCAGGTGCCCCCACCCCAGGCAGCACCGAGCACCCACTCTCCCCTGCCCCATCGGCCTCTCCGGGAGTGGCGCTGCCACACAGGGCCAAAGCCACGGCCATGCCCAAAAGGGCTGAGCATCACGCCCCTCACCCTCCACATCCCCACGCTGCTCCAGAAGAGACAGAGCAGAAGCCAGGTTTCCTGCTGTGGCCCCTGGCCTGGCTGTGGCCCCACCGGGCAGCTGAGCATCTCCTGCAGTGGAGTGGCCCTGCCAGAGCACCTCCAGTCCCCACTGCCCAAGCATGGCTCCAGTAAGGGATGGTGGATAGGGCAGCCCCAAGTCCTTGGGCCCTGCAGAAACCCCCTGCACATCTCACTGGCCCGGATGTGCAAGCGTAGGCTGGCAGGTCACTTGTTGCAAGTCACCAGCTCAGTGACACAACATCCAGCCCCTTCATGACCCCGAGTCCCTCAAGCACCTCATGTCCAATGCAGAGTCGCATGGGCCTTCCCCTGTACTGCCTGGAAGTGCAGCCCTGGGCTGCAGCTGCTCCAGCCCTGCTCCAGGGCAGAGCAATTGCAGGGGCAGGTGCAAAGGCAAAGGGGCCATGGGGAGGCACAGAGGGATATGGCAGGTGCTCTCCATGCTATGGAGCAGGGATGCCAACTCCCAGGACCAAGACCCCCCAATGCACCCACCCTGACCACCTCTACTGAGGGCTGAGTGTGAGCCTTGGGGCCCACAGGCTGCCTTGGGTGCACCCACCCAGCACCACAGAACATCAGCCATCCCCACACCACCACATCTCTGTCAAGGGCCCAGCCTGGACATGGGCCCCTCCAGTCACGGCAGCTGGGAAGAGTCCCGGCAGCACCAAGGGCCTCAGACTCTCCCTGGGCTCTGCACACCTGCAGGGATGGAGCTGTCTGAGGAGCATCCCAGCTCCAGAGAGCATCCAGGGGGAAAATGAGAAGCAGCAAAAGGCTGGGGATCACAGGATCATCCCAGGACATGCCCAGCTCCATCATGAAAATCAGCACTGTCTCCACTTGGACCCACACAAGGCATGACTGACATATGAGCGGCACAGGGCACCTGGGCTGGGAGCCAAAAGGTGCCAGCACTGCCGGCAGCACAGATGGGAGGAGGCTGCCTTGGCAGGATGTGCTCCAGGCACCCGCAGGACAGGCACCTGCTGAGGGTAGTGGGGCAGCAGGAGACCAAAGCCCAAGCAGGCTGTGCTCTCCCAGGGGATTGTGGAGACAGCTGGGGCTGCCAAGACAGACGGTGACTCAGCAGCTGAGTCAGGGCTGAGCCGGCACCCCACGACAGGCAGTGAGTCACAAGTGCCCCGAAAGCTGATCCTGACAGGAGTGTGATGGGAAGCCACAGCCGTGCTGCCAGAGCAGGCACAGGGCATCCTGTGGGCCAGGGACATGAGCTCCAGCAGCACCTCCAAAAATCCAGTGCTCCATTTTGTCTCAAAGCCTCCCTGTCCCCAGCGTGCCTCACTGTGAGGCCGGGCAGAGCCGGGCATGTGGAGCAGCAGCCAAGTGCTGCAGGAGTTGCCCTCTTGAGGAGAAAGGCTAAGAGTGGGTTCTGGAAGGCACTCTGAAAGCCTGGGAATCTGTCAGGAGCATCCTGGCTCTGGAGCAACGGACAGGGCAGGGCCATCCAGAGGTTGGGGCTGCCTCAGTGTTTGGGAATGTTACCTCTCCAGCTGAGCCTGGGAACGGCCCCGGGAAGGGAAGCGCCGGGAACTGGGGCCGGCCTGTTTGGTTCATATGTTAAAATTTAATAAGGGCATTATTCATAGAAAGAGGAATCCAGATCTCGGCGCTGCCAAGCCCTCCCTTTCAGCAGCATCCAAGCCGAACAAAGTGGGACGGGGGAAAGGAAATGCCTGGAAATAAGGAGTGGACGGGGCTGACCAAGCCCGTGGCGGTGGCTCCCGGGACCGGGGGCTCCTCCGGGCTCCGGGCCGGTGCCGTAGCTATGCTTGGAGGGCCCCAGCAGCCCCCAGGCCCCAGCCCCGCGCTGCCACGTACCTCCGCGGTGTCATCAGAGTCGGGGGAGGCCGGGCCCACCCGTGTCACTCACCGGGGAGGCGGCCAGTGGGGACCGGCCTCGGCGGAGCCGTGCTCCGGCCGCCCCCTGGAGGGATGCCGGGCGCAGGGGTCCCCCCGAGACGGCGGGAGGCGCGGGGAGCGTCGGGCACAGCCCGGACGGAGGGACCGCGCCCGGCCGCGCATCCGCGCCCGCCGACACACCCCCGGGCCGGCCGGGCCGGGGCTGCGGGCAGGTGCCGGGAGTCGGGGGGCTCTGCCCGCTCCCTGCCCGCCCCGCACCAACTTTCCGCCCCTTCCCCCGCTGGGAAGTTGGCGCGGGCCGGGCCGGGCGGGGCTCGGGGCGGGGGTCCCGCGGGGCTCACCTACGTCGGCGTTGCAGAAGGCCTGCTGCGGGTGGATGGGCGAGCAGCTGCAGGCGTCGGCCGGGCGGGCCCTGCCGAGCAGCAGCACCGCCAGCCAGGCCAGCAGGCTGGGCAGCGCGGCGGGCATGGTGCGGGGCTGCGGGCTCGGCCACCGGCCCCGATCCCGCACCCAGCGCCGGGCCCGGCCGAGCCGCTGCCGGGAACTTAGCTCCGGCCGGGGCGGGCGCTCTGCGGCCGCCGCTCCGTTGCCTCCACAGAGCCGTTCGCTTCCTCCCCGCCGCGCTCGGCCTCGCTCTTTAACGTGCTCCGGGGATCTGCTGCTCCTCCTCCGCGTGGCGCGGGGCCAGCCCGGCTGCGCCCGCCCTCCGCGGGATGCGGCTCCGCCGCGACCGCCGCCCCCGCCCCGGCACGGCCCCGCCGCGGGCACCGGCCGCCCCCGCCCCAGCGCAACCCGGCCGCCCCCGGCCCCGCCGCTCCCGGCCCCACCACCCACGGACCCGCCACCCCTGCTCCGGAGCTGCCCGCGCCGATGTCGGCGCAGGCTACGGTCCTGGTCGTGCCCGAGCATTTCTCCCCACCTCGGCCCCTCCAGCCCAGCTCGTCCTACCCCCGAGTCCCCTCGCCCACTCCCCACTCCTACCGGAGGTCCTGCACCACAGCGACCTTCCCGAGGCCTCAGGCCTCTCCCCCTGGACAGCAGCTCCTGCCCTCTGGCACAGCTCCAAAAATCCACCTTGTCCCTGTCCTGGCTGTGTGTCAGGGTTTAATCCTGGTGGGCAGCTCAGCCCCCACAGCCTGACTCCCCCCAGCATTTGTCCAAACTATCACACTTGGGAAAGACAAATGGCCTTAATTCCTAATGTTCCCCCTTCCTCCAGCTCTATATACTGAGCATGATGCCATACAGTATGGAATATCCCCTTGGGTCAGCTGGGGTCACTGTCCTGGCTGTGCTCCCTCCCACTGCCTTGTGTCCCCGTTGCCCCTCACTGGTGGGATGAAGAGCAGAAAAGGCCTTGAGCTGCACAAGTGCTCAGTAGTAATAAAAATATGCGTGTTACCAACACTTTTCCCAGCACCACTCCCAAACACCAATCCCCACACCAGCTACTATGTAAAGACACGACTCTATCCCCATCAAAATCCCCACTGTGTCACTGCAGAGGTGTTGGGGTGCTGCTGCTGTCACCGGACCTGTACTCTGTGCCCGGCTGGCTGCGCTCCATCTCCCCTGCAGTGCCTCTGTCCCAGCGGAGCGGGCAGGGAGTCCTGCCTCTGGGAGGGACACAGCTTCCAAGCACAGCCTGGCCGGGTGTCACGGGCACATGTTAGCAGGGACAGTTGCCACTGTGGCCATGACTGCTCCCAAGCCAGCCTCTTGCCATGGCACTCCCACAGCTGCTCATGGTGGAAGGAGGTGTTGGAGCTGCTTGGCGTTTGGGACAAGAAGAAACGGTGGAACTGTGGGCAGCCAGACCTTGTCCCATCCCTGCCTGAGGCTTCAGGAAACATGCGGGAGGTGACAGCATTGATAGTGCCAGGATGCTGGATGACACCTGGAGATGGAGCTCCAGGTCCCCAGCTCTACTGCAACCCTCATGGTCTACAGAGGCTCCAGCATCAGCAGGATTCCTGCCAGCCTGGCTGCCCAAGGCACCGGTGCTGCTGCTCCAAGGGCACCACAGGGCTGAGGTCTGGAGCCCAGGGATGCTTCAGCCCAGGGGACAAACAGGGGTCATGTGGCAGGGACAGCCACCAGCACAGCCACCGGCGCAGCAAACAGGTGCTACTGAGCTGTCAGCCCTGAGCCAGGAGGGTGAGTAAGGCCAGGAGAGGCTGTGCCAAGCAAAGTGCAGGCAATGGCTGAGTGGCCATTGTGGCCCAGGGCCAGCTGGCACTGATCATGGGCCGGGAACGGGCCCTGGATGCCCTGGGCTGGGTGCTGCACAGCCCCGAGGCCACATGAAGGGGCTGAAGCCAGGTCTGCCTGCGGCACTGGGGACAGGTCCATGTCCAGAGGAGACAAGCGAGTCCGCTCCCAGCCCAGCACCGGCTGAGTCATCGTCTGGGCTAAACGAAAACACGTGTCTGGCCTCGTCCGCGCTCCGCACGGCTCGCAAAGGTGCCGACAGTGTAAACAGGGATGAGGCAGAGAGAGCCTGTCTGGGCTCCTGGGAGGGCTCCGTCCTCTGCAGGTCCTTCCACCCAACTACAGCCAGGTCACTGTACCAACAGGTCCTTCCCTCCCCGAGCACTGCTGGACCCCCTGCAGGACAGTGCCAGGGCACGACAAAGGGGCACGGTGGGCCCAAGGCCCCCCCAAACCAGCTGGGCCAGTACGCAGGCCCAGCTCGCTGAAGCCTTGCCTGCTGGCAGAGTTGCTCCAGGGGCAGGGTGTTAAGGGGAACCAAACCAGGAACAGTACCCTACCAAACACTGGCCCTGGTGTGAGGATGTGCTGCCCTGTGACCTGGGGCAGGGCAGGGCTGAGCCGGGGAGCGTGGGCAGGCCACGAGACACAGCCCCCACAGTCAGAGGGGTCAGAAGGGCTCTGGGGCCAGCAGATGCCCCTTTGACACTTCTGGCTCCTGAAACTGCGCAAATTCCTGCCAGAGGCCACAGGCTGCGGATGTGATTTCACAACATTCTGGAGAAGGCTCCCTGGCCAAAGCCTCGGGCTGCTACGAATGCTTCCCAGCTGCTGTCAGCCCTGAGAAGCTGAGCTGGCGCTTCTGGCTCTGCTTCCGCGCTGAGCACGGCAGCCCTTGGACAGCATGGCCATGCCACCACCAGCTCCCAGCAGCTCCTGTCCAGGGCTCAGCTCTTCCTAGAGCTGATAGCTCTGGGGCTGGAGCCACCTCTGGGGCTGGGGCTGTGTGCAGCCAGGCCTAGGAGACACAGCCAGCACACACACGGCTCACAGGGGGTGGGCTGGGAACGGCACTGGGATGGGCCCACATTACACCTGGCCATGGCTGGTGGCCCCATCAGTCGCTTGGGACCACCTGTTGCCCCTCCCCCACAAGCACTGCCACTGTGCTGGTACCACAGCACCAGGAGCGGCAGTGGAACCGGTGCTACCAGTGGTGCTGGAACTGCTGCACCCCCTGTGGTGACAGGGGCAGAGGGACACAGCAACTGCCCCCTCCCACGTGTGACTTTTCCCAGAAACAGGCCACCTGTCACCCCAGCCATCACCTCACTCAGCTTATAGGAAAAGGCAAGGAAAACCAGCTTCTGGGGAAAAAGCCTGATCTGGGTCTGACCCGCTTCAGTTGCACACCCCCTCCTCTGCCTGGGGAGCCCCACAGCACACAAGGCAAAGCTGCAGAGCTGGGGCTCAGCTGCTACTCAGCTGCAAACCCAGAGCCCGGATGTCACCGGATGTCACCACAGTCGCTGACCCACCGCAGAGGGGTCTGTCGCAATTCGGGGCTGGGCACTAAGGACTGCAGTGGGGCCTGCCCGGGAACCGGTGCTCCGGGATGTGGCCACTGCCACCGGGGCCGGAAGCACCCTGTGGTGGTGCTCCCTTGCCACCAGGTGCCACTGTCGAAACACTCGCACCACGCCTGCTGCAGCACAGCCAATGCTTTACCGGAGAGGCCACGGCCAAGAACAGAGCCAGGAGTGCTGCCTGGCATCCCTCACAGAGCCCAGGTTGAAAGAAGGTTGGCAGGGACCACCCATGCCCCTCGGCCGCCCGCACCCCTCTACTCGGTCCAAAAGTCTGTTAAATAAACTCAATGCCCTCGTACTTCACACTCCCGATCCTGGTCTCGGGCAGGAGTAAGCGCCCATCCAGCGTGAAGGCCATGATGTAGCTGGAGATCTTGCCGTTGTCCTCTTCTGATTTCAACGCCACGATGATCTGGTCATCCGTGTCTGGAATGAACTTGAAGGAGGAGAAGCCGTGGGTGGGAACCACCTCGCCCACACGGCCTACTGTCACGTCCCCGAAGTCCTGGGTGGAGCTCAGCAGCAGGTTGGTGCCTCGCCGCTCGTCCGCCCTCTCGCTGTAGCGCTCGTGGCTGGCGCGGCGCGGCAGGAAGAACCAGCGCTGCAGCGTGTCGCTCCAGGAGGCCGACTCGTGGATCAGGTACCCTGCGGCAGGAAGCGGAGTGTGAACGCATGGGGCACGTGGGCACTGGCCGGGCCCCTCCAAAACACTTCACAGGTTGCAGCCCCTGTGAACATTTCTGCCTCCTCCTGCCCCACTGCCCAACAGCAACATCTCAGTCCCTTCCAGAGCCAGACAGGGGCACCTGGCACATCCTGCTCTGCCCAGGGGACTGCCAGCCCCGTGTCAGCTGAGCCACCCCAGCTGCTCGTGGCACACTCAGGAGACGGAAATGGCCAGGGCAGGGGAAAGCTCTGGCCTCTGTGCCAGGACACAGGGAGGTCTCTGACTGTCAATGGCCTTTAAATCTCACCCAGTCTCAGTATCCCTAGGGAGGGTGACCAGCCCTGGAGCCGTCAAAGTGTGGGATATGGGGTGGCAGGAGGTTGCACCCGCTCCATACCTGGGGGTCGGATTCCTGCTGCAGCCCTCAGGGCATTGTAGTTTGCCACCCAGTTCTCGTGGCTCACGTCGCCCTTGTAGCCGATGACCTTCACCCACAGGGGGTTCTCGTTCACCACCTCCCCCGTCGTGGTGGTCCACTCCTTGCCCAGTCCCCCCACATACAGGTGCTCGTCTTTCACTGCCAGCCACTCTGCCTTGAAGCCTGTGGTGGAGAGAACGGCTTGAGAGGGGCTTGGCCAGCACAAGGGCATCAGACTGGCCCCACACCCTGAACGCCACACCCCAGAGCCTGGCACTGGGCACAGGAGGCCCCACACAGCTGGTCCCTGGACAGGAATTGTCCCCATCCTGGCCAGGCACAGGGGTCACAGGTACACCCCACCCCAACAAGCCAAAAAGAGCCAAGCTCGCTGCTTCGCTGCTCTGCATCCACAGGGCAGGACGGGAGCTCACCTTTCCCCACAGTGCCATCCCCATCTGGGAGGATCACCCAGGGCACCACCTTGTTGCCCTCGATCTGGTAGACCACACCAGTCCGGTCATCCACAGTGTACAGCTTCCCGTTGAAAACCACCAGCTCAGAGAGCTCCATGCCCCGGCCCTTCTCAGCCAGGTGGGACTGCAGCATGCTCTCGTCCTTGTCCCACTCCACTGTCACGCTGTCCCCACTGTCCGACAGCACCAGGTAACCCTTCTTCAGGTAACTGAACCAGGTGTGCTCCTGGGAGCCCCGGGACTGCGTGTCCAGGTCCGCGATGACACCGATGCGGTAGCGCACACCCTCGGGGTTTCTCTGGGGGGGGGACAGCGGGTAGGTGTCATTGTAGCGGTCCCCTGCCCGCAGGCTGAGCTGCCAGGTGTGAGGGCTGGGGGGGCCATGTCGTGCCGGGGAGGAGCGGTGCAGGCAGAGGAGCAGCAGCACAAACCCCACGCAGGCTGAGGACAGCACGATGGCCTTCCAGCGCAGTCGGAAGCGGGGATCAGCACCCTTGGTCATGGACGCGAGGACAGGCAGACCACCCACGCTGATCCGGAGGGGGCTCATAGACTCATGGCAGGGCGAGACTGGCATTAGAGTGGGGGCAAGGAGAACCTAGTGGAAAGATGGGAGGGAGAAGGTCAGATTGCTGGAGTTGGCACCAACTGAGCTTTCGGGGGGCAGCAGGACACAACCCTGAGGGGCCCCATCCCCTCTCCTGTAGCAGGAAAAGGTACTCCCACCTCATGCAGGTAGGAGCCAGCACACCCAGGGGCTGTTTGCTGCTGGAACCACTCTCAGCCCCTCTCACCTAGCCCCCCTGTGCCCTCCCTAAACAGAAAGAGCCCTAGTGCACTGGCAGGAACACACGACCTGCCCAGCACCTTTACCTGGCCCAGGGTCACTGTAGCCCAGGTAGTGAGCCAAAGTACCCGGCTCAGTGCAAGCCCGGTATTGGGGTGTCCTGGGACATGTTCCTACACAGCCCCAGGAGCAAGCAGGTTCCCCTCTGGGAGTGAGGATGACCTTTGCTGCCTCCGGGGAGGCTGGTCGGCTTGGCCCAGCTCCCGCAGCCCTGGGAACAGGCCCCACTGGTGAGGGGTGAATGTGTCCCCAGGCTCCACAGGGACACCGTGAGACACGTGGCAGCTCCACCCGAGCAGGATGCCAACACCTGAGCAGGAAGCACGGCACAGGGCACACACCCCGACATGCTCAGCCTTAAGAGACACAGCAGACCCCCACCCCTGCACATGCTCACAGTGTATATTCGTCTGGGCATGTGGGCACTGCAAGCCCACCCCAGGCTGTGTCCACCCGCGGGGCCAGAGCGTCGGCAGTTCTCCTCGCTGCCACCTCCCTCCCTGCTGCACAGTGGACGTGGCAGTGGCCTGGACTCCCACAGAGGGGCACCCCGTGCTGGTCAGGGGGCAAGAAACCCCCAGGACCGGACCCATGCTTGTTCCACGCCATGCAGCCTGGGGCAGAGAACCCCAGCTCACGGCAGCGAAAGGGGTCCCCAGCTGCCATCCCAGGGCTGTCCCCAAAGGGCCCGTGTCCCCGCGCTGGGCTCGAGTCGTGCTCCCCGCAGGGTCTCAATGTGCCTTTCAGCAGCCCGAGCGGCGAACAGAGCCGGCATTGAGCGTGGGGGGCCGACCCTGGGCAGGGAGGCTCCGGCGCGGCGGGGACACGGAGAGCCCGCGGGGCTGCTCGGCCCGGGACCCCGCTGGGGCGGACTGGGGAGCGCCCCTCGCCCCGCCGGGACCCTGGAGCATCGCCCTCGGCAGGTGCCAGGGCACCCCTCCTTGGGTGTACTAACTCCCACCGCGGCTGTAGAGACCCCAGTACGGCCTCGGGGACCCCCAAAACCCCGGGCCACGGTCACAGGCACCCTCCCGGGCATGGACACGGGGACCCCCCCATCCCCGCCGGGCGCGCCCTTGGGGACCCCCGCGCCTCTTCCCGGGAAAGCCACTGGACTGAGCGGGGCCCTGAGGTCCCCCGCGCCCCCCGCGCGGTGCACAGCCCCGGAGACCCTGCCGTTCCCGCCCGGGCAGGGTGCTCGGAGCCCGCGGTGCCAGCGCCGGGTGGAGACCCCCGGCTGCCGGCCCGGCGCCCCCCGCCCGTGTCCCCGCTCACCGCGGCGCCGCCGCTCCCCCGCCGCGCGCAGCCGCCGCCTACAGCTCCCGGCGGCCCCGCTCACCGCGACCGGGAGCGACCAGAGCTCCGCGTCCCGGAGAACTACAACTCCCAGCAGCCCCAGGAAGCACTGCCCGCCCGCCGCGGGGATGCCGGGAGCTGCAGTCCGCGCCGGGCGGGCCCCGCCCGGGTAGGGATTCGCACACGGGCGGGCGGAGGAGCCGGACCTGCGGGGTGGGCACAGCCCTGCTGTCCGGAGGACATGACCTCGCTGCAGGTCCCGGTGCAACCCGACCCTAGCCTGCAGCAGATTCTGTCGCTGTGCCGGCTGTCCCCCGTGTCCCTCTGCCACTGGGGGTGTGGGGAGCGGGACAGATCCAGCCGTGCGGTGCGGGACCCGTGTGCGTGTCCGGCCACCAAAAGCTGGTTCCCGCTGGGGCTCTGCTGGCCCCGGTATCCTCGGGGCAGCGAACGGCCGGCGGCGTTCCCGATGTGGGGCAGGGTCCTGCATCGGGGCCAGCGGCACCCGCCGGGGGCCCGCTCGTGACCGTGGCGGGGCCGGCCCCGGGAGCACACACAGTTAATTCTGCCGGCCCCGGGAGCACACACGGTTAATTCGGCCGGCCCCGGGAGCACACACAGTTAATTCTGCCGGCCCCGGGAGCACACACGGTTAATTCGGCCGGCCCCGGGAGCACACACGGTTAATTCGGCCGGCCCCGGGACCACACATGGTTAAGGCGGCCGCGGGCGCACATCTGGCGGGGGAGGGCTGCGAGCCTCGTCCCGCGCCTCGCTGCCTCCTGCGCTTCCAAAAAGTGCATTTCCGCCCGGGCCGAGCGAGGAGAAGGCTCCGAAGCGGGAGACACCGATCGGCCACGGGCAGGCTCTGCCCCGGCCTGGGGGATGCTCTAGGGCAGCAAAGGCAGCGCAGGGAGGGAGCAGCCCTGCCCCAGAGGTATGTGGGGGGCAGGTTTTGGGGGGCCCTGCAGGCCTGGGCACCGGGCCCAGAGCTGCACCGTGTTATGCTCCCATCTGTAGCTGCTGCGGCATCCCTGCGGAGTCACCCGAAGGCGGCTCGCCTCGCCAGGATCTCGGGTGCCCTGGGGCAGGTCCAGCGAGGGGCACCGGTCCGTGTGCCCCTCTGCCCAGTGAGGCCCCTCTCCTGCCTGTGAAGGGGTGGGGTGGTGGACATCACAGGGCCGAGCCTCACAGTCTTCTGAGGGCACAGCCCGACCCACCATGGCTCAGGGAGGACACAGATCCTTCCCAGCCCTGCCCTCGCTATGGTCCCAAAAAATCTGTCCCTACAAACACATCAAACTCAGGCTGGGCCCCCCCAGCACCTCTGTAGGGGACACATTGGCTGTTGGGGTCCCCTGCACAATATCTTACTGGTGCTGCTGGAGCTGGTAGGCTGCAACCACCCTGTGCAGGCCCCACCCTGCTGCCAGCCAGGTCTGCGCTGCTCCAGGAGGGAAAAAAGAGCTCTGCAACCATTCTAGCTGCTGCAGCAGAACGTGGGTGTCCTGTCCCACCAGCACGATCCCAGAGGCATCCCAGCTCCAGCTGCTGTGGAGCAGGGAAGTCTGTATCCACCACCCTGAGTGGAGGGAAAAGCAGGGGGTGCAGGTCCTGCTGCCTACACACCACCCTGAGACCCTTGTTCCTCCCCCAGGCTTTGTTCTGTTTCATCCTGGTCTTTATCTCTATCTGGAATGTATTTTGGGATGTTTTGACTTGCAGTCCCAAGGCTTCTGCAGCTGCTGAGTTTAAATCTCCAGGTTCCTGGAGAGCATCCAATCCTGACAGGAAAAACCGCGTCCCTCGGCAGGGCTGTGTGTGCCCACACGCATGTGAGCACCTCCCACCCGGCACACCTATGGGGTACAGGGGGCACATGCTGGGGGTCCTGAGAGCCCCACGTGCCCTGTGTGTGCCACATGCTCGCTCCATTCCCGGCAGCCTGGGAAACACTGTCTTCTGCAGTGGGAACTTCCTGGTGAGGTTTTCTCCTCGTGGAGCAGCTCCCTGGGACACTGCGTTTTCCCCAGGGCTGAGCCTGCTCTGGGTCCCGGGGGAATGTCTGATTTCATGGTCTCAGAGCTGAGAAAATCCACAGGCTTCCCATGCTCCCGCCATGCTCCATGCCGTGCTCAGTGGCTCAAGGCCAGGCAGGGTGAGCAGAGCCAGGACCAAGGCTGGCCCTGGGTGATACCTGCTCACAAGCCCCTACTTGACCTTCTCCATGCTTTGATCCATGAGTCTGCCTCTCCCCTGCCTCAGAGCTGAGTGCCCACAGCCCTGCCTCTCCCCACACCTGGCAGCACCGAGACATGGGCCAAGATAGTGGAGTAAGAGCTGGTGGGACAGAGGGGCCCAGGAACCATGCAAAGGGACCAGGCACTTAGCAGAGGGTGCAAGCAGTGGGAAAAGCCCTTTGGAGCTTTTCCCCATTCCTTCGCCCCTTCCCGGTTCCAGTGACTCATGATCCAGTCATCTGCCTGGCCTCGAATGCCCTCTGCACCCGTTGCAGGAGCACACACAGTCCCTGGACCCCTTTCTTGGGAACAAGAGTAACAGTCACCCAATACTGACTGAGGGCCCCAGTGCTCCGAGAACAGGCATTCACCAAAACAACAGGATTCTGCCCCAAAATCCCTCCTGGCCTCGCCCACCGCCAGGACACAGGGCAGGGCAGGGCTGTACAGGCCCTTTGCCCCTTGGGCCGTGCTCTAGGATGCTGTCAGCGCTGTGGAGCACGGCCGGGTGGTGAGGCTGCCTGGGAGGGGAGAACAGCAAAGGCCGCACCCAGTCCCAACCCAGGGAGGCGCCTGGCTAAGACGCCTTGGACGCCTAAGTCTCCTGGCTGGGGAGCAGCCAACCCCATCCCAACCCGGCACCACCTCGGACCCTGCTGCCGCGGGATGCCGAGCGCTGGGCAGTGCCACACGCCTGTTTGGCCAAGGCTATCCTGGTGCCTCGGGGTCAAAGGACGAGGTGCTGCGTGCCCAGCCTCACGTCTCCAGCAGATATGGCTGCGATAAGGCAGGGAAGGGCCATGGAGGGCCCGGGCTGGGCCACGGGGCCACCACCACTGCAAATATTAGTTTTGGCCCCACACAGGATGTGGTCTCCTAAGAAGGTTTCTCCCTGTGGTAGCTCTGAGTTGGGGTTGCCAGCCCACATCCATGTCTCTGAAAAAGACGGTCTTGTGCCCTTGCAAACCCTTTGGCTAGCAGCCCCTGGGGCACAGGAGCCCCCTGCAGAGCCTGTGCAGCCTGTGCTGCATCCTTTCAGGAGTGAGGACGGAGATATGCTCCCCAGACAGGGCTGGAGTCCCACACACAGGCAGGGCTGCACCCTGACATTTGCCTTATGGCATCTGGAGCTGCCTGTAATTTTTCAGGTGCTGACATCTTAAGTTGCTGCTCTTGGGCATTCATGGGACGCAGCTGAAACCAGGCTGAACAGGAGCAGCAGCACTCGTCCCAGGACTTGGCTGGTCATCCAGAGCCTGCTGCTCCACTCCACCCTCAGCTCTCCAGGTAATCCCCTCTGCTGTATCAGGACTTGGGAGACTACATGGCCCTGGCCCACCTGTTGGTGAGCCCAGAGCCTCCACACTGCCCCAGTGTGGGTCTCCCCAGGTGCTCACTGGGGTGACACCGTGTCCCACAGCCCAGCCAGAAGCCTAGGGGTGTGCAGTGCACAGGTCCTGTCCCAGGACAGTACAGGGTATGGCTGGGCTGGGCATTTCCACACTCCTGTCCCCCTCAGCTGTCCCTGGCACCTCACAGGGCACTACCAAGGCATGGAGGGGCTGTGGGCACATGGTGTCCTGCTGCTCTGCCTGCTGCTGTCCTGCCCTGTGGGGAGCCAGACTGGACCCCACCCCAACCAGCAGCGGTGGACAGATGCTGAAGAGGCCCCGTCTCAGCACCATGCTGCCAGGTGAGGGGACCCCAGGGCCAGGGCACTGCAAAATGGGAGCCAAAGCAGCCTTGGTGCTGCAGAGGGCCCCTGCTCCCCCTGTAGCTCCCTGTTGGGCTTTGCTTTCTGCCTTGCCAGGGCCACATGGGAGCAGAAGGCTGATGGTGCCCAGGAGGGGCTGCCCCCACAGCCCCGCTGTGTCCGCTGCTGCCCCCCGCCCGACCAGTACCAGCCTCTGCCTCAGATCAACATGACCATCCTGAAAGGTGAGGGCTGGCAGGACCCCACTCTGTGTGCCAGCATCTGTTGCCCCACAACCAGTGCCACTCTGGGTTCCAGTGCCAGCTCTTGCACAGACTGGGAGCAAGAAGCTGGGGTGGTACCTGTGGTTCAGTGCCCTGCATGAGCAGAGGGCAGGAGCCACACCAGAGTGTGAGCAGCCCCTGCTCTGGTGGCCTCTGGGCAGCAGCACCAGAGCCTGGGGAGGGGGCAGGGGCATCCCTGCTGCCTCCATCCTTCTCTGTCAGGCAAACGGGCCTTCAGGATATGGGTTCAGTGCTGGCCCCCGCCTGACAGTCCAGCTCTCCCTCCTGCTCTGCCCAGGGGAGAAGGGGGACCGTGGCGAGCGCGGCATCCAGGGCAAGTTTGGCAAGACAGGGGTGGCCGGCAGCAGGGGCCACGCGGGGCCCAAGGGACAGAAGGGCAGCGTGGGAGCCCCGGGGGAGCGCTGCAAGAACCACTACGCCGCCTTCTCAGTGGGCCGCAAGAAACCCCTGCACAGCAATGACTACTACCAGACCCTCATCTTCGACACGGAGTTTGTCAACCTCTACAGCCACTTCAACATGTTCACGGGCAAGTTTTACTGCTATGTCCCTGGGATCTACTACTTCAGCCTCAATGTGCACACCTGGAACCAGAAGGAGACATACCTGCACATCATGCACAATGGGGCAGAGGTGGTGATCCTCTACGCCCAGGTGAGTGACCGCAGCATCATGCAGAGCCAGAGTGTCATGCTGGAGTTGCAGGAGCAGGACGAGGTCTGGGTGCGGCTCTACAAGGGCGAGCGTGAGAATGCCATCTTCAGCGATGAGTATGACACTTACATCACCTTCACTGGCCACCTCATCAAGTACAGTGGAGACCCCTGAACACCAGGCCCCCACTGCCCCCACTCCTCGTACACTGGGCCGGGTGGCCGAGGAGCCCCTGTGCCCTCTCATCCTGGGCATGCCACCCCCATTATGCTGTTATCCACCCACCCTACTGCCACTACCCTCAGCAGCTGCCTCAGTATGTGAATTCCCCCACTCCAGCTTCTTGAGACCGATCAGACACACCTGGAGGAGTTGGAGCCATTTCCAGCCCCTGCCACATTTGTGACTGGGAAGCAGTTGCTCACCTGGGGTGGGCAGGGAGCTCCCTCCCTGCCCCCTACACCTGCTCCATAGCTGGGTTTGCTGGGCACAGCCCACTGTGGCCCCGGCTGAGCTGGTGGCACCAGGGGAACAGTGTGACTGCTCGTGTCCTGGTGCAAGCCAGCTCAGGCACGTGCACCGTGTTCCTCCTCCATGCACCATGCTGTGTTCCCTGCCTCGAATGGGCAGAAGGTGCTCAGCGCCATCAGGGAAGGCAATAAACCACTAAGGGCCCCCTTTCCTTCTGCAGAGCTGGGGGCCAGTGGGGCGGGCGTTGCAGCATACCTGTGATGGGAACAGATTGTGTCAGTTCCCTCTGTGGGTCCCTCACTGCTCACCACAGCCTCTACTTGGGAGGGGCTGGCTCCCCACCGGCAGCCCTGAGCACAGAGCCTTCAGCCTCAGCCACTTCCTCTTCCGCTGGATTATCTGCTGGCCAGGCTTCTTGTTAGTGTAGATGCTGCAACGGTGTGGGGCAGCATTCTGACCTCCCTGTATAGCTCGTGCTACATTAAACACCCCACGTTTCCAGCCTTGCTCACACCCTCAGTTTCCTCTTGCTTTGTATGTATGAAGGCTCCAAAGGGCTCCCAACATGTTTCTGCTCCTGGGGTGCTGGGACTTCCCGAGAGCCATGGGCTGGTACCATGCTGTCGAGCTGGGAGTGGAGAGGGAAGGTCAGACTGTCCCTGGAGAGGCAGGGGTCCTGTCCTGGGTCTGCAGGAGGGCCAGCTGCATCCTGAGGGTTGGGAGCTAAGCACAGTGACAGAACTGTCAGCCTGGGAACAGGGCAGGCTGGGGAGGGCTGCCAAGAGTCCAAGTCATCCGGCACATCCACAGAGAAGAGGCAGGTCTGAGGTGAAGCTGGGGGTCAGGGTCTGGAATGGTAGGTCCGTGGCTGGGCTGAGCAGGGCTGCAGCTGGAGACCAGCATCCCAAACACATCAGAGAAAGGACTAGGGGCTCAGGCTGAACTTACACAGAGCCCTGGCCCCACAGGTGGGGAGGTGGGGAATGGAGGATGTCCAGGTGAGGTTGGTCAGAGCATCCACTGCTGTGCCAGTGTGGCGTGGGCAGCAGCCCAGGTCCCCAGCCTAGTCCCATGGCAGGGCCAAAGCCTCCTGGCAGCACCAGCCCCTCAGGACCAGGTACCATTTCCATTCCAGTCTGCACAGCAGGGCCTGCTATGGGACACAGGTTTCATCCCAGCACACAGATCCTATCCTGGGACACATGTTCTATTGCAGGACCCACAGCCCATCTATACACACAGTATAGATGTCTCATCCTAGGAGACACATCCCCATCCTGGGACACATGGCTCCTCATCCCAGCACACTAGTGCCATCCCAGGTCACATGTCCCATCCCAGAACACAAAGTCCATCCAGACACATGTGGTCCCATCCCAGGACACACGTTCTATCCCAGCATACATGTCCCATGGCGCGAGACTCGTCCCCATCTCAGGACACACGTCCCTTTTCCGGGACTCGCGGTGCACCCCAGGACACGTCCCGCCCCGGGACAGCGGGCGGTGCGGGGGGCGGTGCGGGGTGGGTGAGGGCGGAGCTGCGGGGCCGCGCCCCCGGGAAAGCCGGGCCCGGTGGCGGCCCCGCCGTCAGTGCGGCAGCGGCGGCGGCAGCAGCGCCATGGCGGAGGCGCCGGAGGGGCCCGGGCGGCGCGGGAAGAGGACGGGAACCGAGGCCGGGGCCGCGGCGGAGGAGCCGGCGGAGGCGGAGCGGGCCGGGCGGCGGCGGCGGAGGTGGATGGCGGGGGCCGGGGCGGCGATCGGGACCGGGGTCGGTGCTGTGATCAAGACCGGGACCCAGACCGGGGCCGGGCCGGGGACTGGGATGGGAATCGGAGCCAGGGTGGGGACCGGGACTAGGAGCGGAATGGGGATCAGGACCCGAACCAGGATGAGGATTGGGACTGGGACAGGGATCGGGACCGGGATGGGGACCGGTGCCCGGGCTCGCGGGGCCCCGGAGGGCGCTGACCGCGGTGCTGGTCCAACCCGGCACTCACCCCCATCCCTGGGCAGCTTCCAGCCGGCGGCGGAGACCCGGGGAACCACCGTCCTGCACGACACCATCAATGACCGCCCGCAGCCCTTGCCAGGTGAGGCACCGTGAGAGGGGCCCGCTGCACCGCTGGGGCCCTGCCGGGATGAGGACAGTCTGGTGCTGGTGCCGAGCTGCACAGGCAGTGCTCCCTGCTGACCCTGTCCCCTGTCTCCCCACCGTGCCCAGCGAGGTACTTCGACACAAAGACGACGGAGCCCATCAGCTTCTTCTTGTCTGGCCTGGAGGAGCTGCTGGCCTGGCAGCCCAACAGCAATGACGACTTCAACATCTCGGCCGTGCCGCTGGCCAAGCGCCAGCCCTCACTCCATAGCAGGAGGCCCCGGACGCTGGTGTGCCATGACATGCGTGGCGGGTACCTGGAGGACAGGTAAATGCTGGGTGGAGGGCAGATGTGGCAGCAGGGCTTGATTTTTCACACCCCAAACCACTTCTGTTTCTGGATGATGTGTTTCCTTCCAGCTCAGCCACAGGTGGGCAGGGATGGGGCATTTGGCTCTTGGTGCCAGTGCTCAGCAACCTTGCTCGGGCTGGGATGTTCAGGGCTGGCTCAGTGCCACAGCTGTACGCAGCTCTCAGGTGTGAGTCAGGCTCCTACCCAGCCCCACAGCATCTGCCAGCGTCCTTCCTGCGCTGCCCAACCCTCTTCCCTCTCTGCAGGTTCATCCAGGGCTCGGCCACACGCAACCCCTATGTTTTCTACCATTGGCGCTACATCGACATCTTCGTCTACTTCAGCCACCACACTGTCACCATCCCGCCCGTGGTCTGGACCAACGCTGCGCACCGGAACGGTGTCCCTGTGCTGGGTGAGGGCAGGGCTGAGCCTGGGGCAGCCCCAGGCATGCAGTGGGTTCACTGGGGCGTGCGGCTGACACTGCCCTTGCCATCTCCCCAGGCACGTTCATCACGGAGTGGACAGACGGGGGAAGCTGTGTGAGGCGTTCCTGGCCGGCGGGGAGGAGGCTTACGGTGCCGTGGCCGAGCAGCTTGCCCGCATCGCCCAGCACTACCGCTTCGATGGCTGGCTGGTCAACATAGAGAACACGCTGAGCGTAAGCCATGGTGGCCCTGCTCACCTCCCTGCCTTCCCCCTGCTCACCTCCCTGTCTCTCCTGCCTACCTCCCTACCCTCGTACTGCACCCGTAGGGAGCCCCCCATCCCATACCCTTCACCCACATCTCCTTGCTCTCTCTCCTGCCAGGCAGCAGCAGTGGGGAACCTGCCCCCCTTCCTGCGGGACCTAACGGCACGGGTGCACAGCGCTGTGCCGGGGGGGCTGGTGATCTGGTACGACAGCGTCCTGCAGGATGGCACACTGAGGTGGCAGAATGAGCTGAATGAGGAGAATAGGTGAGGCTGGCAAAATCAGCCCTGGGTGGGGGGCATGAGCCCACCCCAAACCCTGTGCAGGAGTGGTCAGGGCATGACCTTTGCAGCCCTCGGTGTGTGTGGGGGGGTGTCTGTGAGGACAACCACAGCAACTATCCTGCCACCCTGACCCTCATCCCCAGGGTGTTCTTTGATGCCTGTGATGGGCTGTTCACCAACTACAACTGGAAGGAGGAGCAGCTGGAGCACACACTCAGGCTGGCTGGGCCGCGCCACGCCGACGTTTATGTTGGTGTTGATGTCTTTGCCCGTGGGGATGTGATAGGTGGTGGCTTCGACACTGACAAGGTGGGTGTGACAGAACTGGGCCAGAATAGGACCCTGGACTTCGCCCAGCGCAGGGCTCTGAGTTCCCACCAATGGCTGTGCCATGACCTGTTGGGCTGCTTACCTGGGGATGAACTGGTGAGGAGTGGGGGATCCCAGAGCTCCCAGAGATGCATGGAGAGGGAGCTGGGAGTTCCCCAAGCTTCCATCCCTGGAGAGGGAGATGCCACAGCACATTCCCTCAGTGTCCTGCCTCACCACGGGGACAGTGGGACTAGGGGGAGGAGGGACAAGACAGGTGACAAAGTGGCTACCTGGTCTGGCCTGTGCTGCTCACCACTCGTCTCTGCAGTCCCTGCGCCTGATCCGCCAGCACAGCCTCTCCGCAGCCATCTTCGCTCCTGGTTGGGTCTATGAGCACCTGGGGGAGGAAAACTTCCTGCAGAACGAGAACAGGTGAGAGTGGCTCAGCAGGAGGTTGCAGGGGAACAGGGCTGGGCCAGGAGGACTGTGGGGCGGCAGGAACAGGGCTGCTGGGCCCCCGTGGCTGCCGGGGCACTGTGGCTGGGACACTGCTGCTGGCCAGGAGCCAGCTGGTCCCACTCTGCCCCAGCAGACACGATGCCCTAGGCAATGCAGGGCAGCGACTACAGCAGGGGCCTCTGCCCTGACATCCACCTTTGCCTCCAGGTTCTGGGGCTTGCTGGCTGAGTACTTGCCCACACACAGCATCTGCACACTGCCCCTTGCCACCTCCTTCAGCCTGGGCATGGGCAACAGCAGGTTCCTGGATGGGAAGGTGGGTACAGGGTGATGGCTCTGGTCTGGCTGGACTGGGTTGGGAGGGGCAGTGGGTCCCTGCTCTTGAGCCCCCCAACCCAGCTCTCCCTGTGCTGTAGGATGAAGAGTCTGGGCCCTGGTACGACCTGAGCCTGCAGGAGATCCAGCCCCTGTACCCGGAGCAGCAGGGCAGGCTGAGCACCAGCTGCTGCCTGCAGGATGCCTGGTGTGGGGGCAGCTCCCTGCGGCTGCAGGGGACCATTCCCCCCGGCGAGGAGCGCGTGGCCATCCGGTGAGTTGGGGTGAAGCCCTTTGCCCCCTCCTCAGCGCCAGGCTGGCACCATATTGGCACAGCACAGCCTGCGTGGCCCAAGCTGTGTGGCCCCAGGGCCTCATGGCAAGTGAGCTGGGCCTCTGCCCACACTACCCAGCACACCTAACCCAATGCATCTTTGTTTTTCTCTTTGTCTCTATCTCTCTCTCTCTCTCTGGGTGGATTTGGGGTCATCAGCCTCTTCTCTTTGCAGATGCCGGCACCCCCCAAGCTCTTCCTGACCCTGCTCTACAAGCTGGAGGGGCTGCAGCCCGATGATTTTGCGGTGGCACTGGAGGTCACCACCTGGGACTCAGGGACCTGCCTTGAGGGCAACCCCACCTCCCTGCCTGGTGAGGACCCTGTCCCGCCATGCTCTCTGCAGTGAGCACCCCCTGTGGGGCGCAGGACCAGCTCAGTCCCTTACCCCCTGACCTGTCTTCCTCTTGCAGAGCCCAATGGCCGGCACTACCCCCGGTTCCTGCCGGCTCCTCCGCCTGGACTTGCCAAGCTGCTCGCCGCCTGCCACCGTGGCTCCCATGGCTGGACCAGCCGGTGAGTGCCCTACCTGCATCCTGTCCCCACAGGCAGGCATGAGACACCGTGGCCCCCTGGTACCATTCCCGCTCTGCCCCTTCCCTCTCAGGTGCTATGAGCTGGAGCTGCAGGACTGCAACCTGCGAGACCT